AATAGTTATATATCCTCACTGAAGCCATTATCACGTCGCAGTATGATTAAGTTATGGGGCGAGATCCGCTCCTTGTCCCCGACAATACAACGAGATGGTATATAGCCAAATTCCAGTCGTAATAGTGCATGATAACTAATCCAGTACTAATATGCCAACCTTTATTCTTACTATGCTAAACCCCATATACCCAATACTCAAAAACCCACATCCAATACTTAAAACCCACATCCAATACTCAATAACCCACATCCAATACTCAATAACCCACATCCAATACTCAAAAACCACATCCAAACCCAAAAACCCACATCCAATACTAAAAACTTAAAGCATAATGCCGGCTAATAATTCCACTATCCACTACTCAAATATCCTGTATAATCGGTGTGAAATCGGCGCTGGGACGTGTGACCAAAGGAACAAAGCCCAACGAAGTCCAAAGCAGTAAAAAGCAGGACCGAAACAGAACAAAACACCAAAAAACAAGTTTATACAGCACTCAGTAAATGATCAGGGTGAGAGACCGGGACGTCTGCCAATGCCTCCGCCCAGGACCAACAAAGGGTGGGGTTTCCTGGGTAATGCACCTCAAGGAGATCGCCCCTTCGGGGATTAGCCTTTGAGCAACGTGAAGTCTCGAAGCAAATGGGGAACCATTTACCTAGAACGCAACCAAAACCAAACAAGGGTGAGCGCGACTAGGTAACCCAGAAAAACCCGACCCTCTGTTGGCCCCAGGCTCTGAACTAGGTCCGGAATTAGAGCACTGAGAAGGCCCCCCCAGGGCCAACGGAGGACGCRACAAGATAATCTCAGATGATGAACAGCGAGAAAGGGGAGAAAGAAATTTTTCCCATAAATGACAGGGTTTCAGGGAACCAGGAAACCAGGGTTTCCAACAGCTCAACAGCTTCGTAACGGTCAAACAGCGACGCCGGCCTATTAAGGTGTCTCCTTAGTGCGACCAAGGCGTTCTCGCAGGACTCGACGACTTTTTCTCCTACCAGAGCCTTAACCTTCTGTTCTAACAACTCTAAGCGATCTGCAGGCTGTAAGAATACGCAGAGAGGGATTAAGTCAGTRCTCTTAAACTACGAGACCAATTTCCGGCCTAGTTCTAAAAAACGCAGTGTACAACCATGGCTGCCCAACCACGCGTGCCGAAAAGGGGGTTACGCTCCCGTGGCTCTCCGAGCCCTTAACGTACTACAGTACAACACAAGTATTGGATACAAAACACCCCTGCTCGCGGCCCTCCAGGTAGCATTGGTTCTCCAGTCCAATCTAACTCAAAATATTACGCGACATACTCGCGGCTCTCCAGGCCGTTAGCTCTACTCACATTGGCTCTCCAGGCCGATCTAGATAACTCAAATTATTACGCGACAAACTCGTGGCTCTCCAGGCCGCTAGCCCTACTCGTATTGGCTCCCCAGGCCAATCTAACTCAAATTATTACGCGACATACTCGCGGCTCTCCAGGCCGTTAGCTCTACTCATATTGGCTCTCCAGGCCAATCTAACTCAAATTATTACGCGACAAACTCGTGGCTCTCCAGGCCGCTAGTCCTACTCGTATTGGCTCCCCAGGCCAATCTAACTCAGATTAATTACGTGACATACTCGCGGCTCTCCAGGCCGCTAACTCTACTAATATTGGCTCTCCAGGCCAAACTAACTCAAATTAATTACGCGGCATATTCGCGGTTCTTTAGGCCGATATAAAACTTACTTTAAGAAATAAGTAACCKGAATAATAGCCCCAAGCAACTGCACAAACTACGAAGATAAATATCRCACAAAAGCACTAGGACCGCGTAAAATAAAAACGCTGAAGCAGGTCCGTACACCAAAAGACTCCCCAGGGCAAAAAAGTGTAACCTACATAAAAGGCTAAAACCGATGAAAGCAAGGGCGCTAAAGAACAACAAGACGTGAACAAAGAACCAAACCAACCAAGTGTGACGAGGGTAGAAATTATTGCAAATCTGAAGGGTAAACTACTTGAGTAAAACTATCACTGCGCCCAAAAATACCATGTAATAACGCATAAAATAGTAGTAGCATGCCTTGGATGCAAATCTGAAGGGAAACTACTCGAGTAAAACTATAACTGCGCCAAAAAATACCATATAATAACGTATAAAATGGTAGTAGCGTGCATTAACAAAACCAAGAGGTCCAGATAAACTGGCAGGCAAAAAATAGCGCCAACACAAGGGAATAACAAACCCTCCCAGATAAAAGAACTGCAGCAAAATTACCTGCTGCTCGCTAACCGGTGGAACTACTGCTCCCGGCGCTTGCTGTTCAGGGTTTTGAACCCCACCTCCTGCTGCCGCTCCTTGCGCCACGTGAACTCTCAGTACAAACGATATCTTTGAAATTTTCTTTGCACCGGCAAAACGAAACAAATAGAATACAACCAACCTAAACGTTTTCCCACAATACCAGCCGTCAGCATAAGTCCCGTCTGTGTTTCATCAGCATGCGTAGAGCAATAGAATGTTGGCCTCTGGCTGGTGGCGGTGGTGGGGACAGCGAGAAAAATTCGTACTTCGAAGGTCCAAACGACGTTATGCAATGAGTCATGTGTGTTGACTTAATTTATACTGCTTGGTGATAATTTATTCAGTGAGAATAGTAATAAAGACAATACTGGCGAGAAACAATCCATCAAATGCATGTCTTTGGGTTTAGGGAAAGAAAAACAAAGTAGTTATGATTCAGTTCACAATTCCGAAAATATGAAGGCATTAAAAAACGTCTCCTTCAACACTTCCCGCTCGCCTACGAAGGTTCGTGCTGTAAACCAGGCATAACTAGTCAGATAAAATTAATATGGAGTCAACTCGGCTTCAATGATTGCTACCCAGAGTTCCTTTCGGTCCAGTTGCGTAGGCTTGAGTTGTTCGACGACAACAYTTTTTGAATTGACTGTATGTGTTGAAGTGGCACTTGGACGAAAATCGCTCCAAAATCAAAACTCTTTCATTGGAGCTGAAACTTTGCTAAAATAATCAAGTGCCGCTTTAATATGTCAGCACCGAAGAAAATATGTGCAGACAAAGTTTAGGGGGAAAATTATATTGTTGCGTCACCCATAGCGCATTTCGGACTCGGAGTTCAATAAAACCTTCCATGTTCGCCAATATATTTGAAATAGCTGTATATGTACAGAGGTAACTATATATGTTGTTATATATTCCCAACTGTWCTTCCGAAGCTTCTAATCAGGAATAAACAAATTAATTATTTGTCAGATTATGAATCATTTTGAAGACGACCCGATGTTTGAAAATATGACTGTTACTCAACTAAGGCAAGTCAGTTGTTGAATTGCTTTCATAGTTTTTAGTGTGTTTCTGATATATTGCATGTATTCATATGATATCATATGAATGTTCACCAGTTTATACCAGTTGTAATTGCATAAAGTGGAGTAAAATCGCTTGTCTGGTAAAAAGTTCCCAGGCAGCATACCAAACGAGGAAGACCCAGCTCAACTTTTTTGTGACATGATGCCTAATTTATGATGGAATTCAATCCCCTGCCCATGATAAAAAGTTGCAAGCACGGAAATGCGATTTTGACACTCACTGCCTTTGAAAACACACTCGTGCAAATGTAATTCCAAATTAAACTAAAACCTGTGYGATTACCTGTAATAAGCCTCAATTATCAAAGGGTTGCTGCTCGATATTTCTTGCTCCGGATATTTCATTTCGTGGTTAAAGACCTTGCCCGACATTAGGTGGAATTTAAACAAAATTCAATATTGTTGATTGCCATCCCCCGAGACACTGATCCGCAGAGCTCAGGCGTCGTATTGACTTTGGGCTCGAAGGMAACTAAGGGCGGATGTTTTTCGTTTGCTATCGATAACGAACACATTTTTATGTAAAATAGCTGAGGGTGGCCAAAGGCCTGCTTGGTTCTTTTCTTATTCTACTAATAATAGCATGTAAAAAACGTTGCTAATACAAGAAAGGGTTAGATTTCGCCAACACATACGTATTTTTATGACTATACAGGGARGACCACACAACCAAAAAGTCCGTACTTGAAGGTAACTTAGCAGCAGAATTCAAATTACATCTGAGAAACCATTCCGTGACAGGCCTGGGTAGATTGCGTGACACAGTCATGCTTGGACGTTTAGGAGATATTCCAGTAAAAAAGAACTCATTGTATTTGCAAGGTAAATATTAGAATCGGAATTGGTTATCATCCAAAGAATAAAATCTTTTTTCCTATAATTCAAAAACAATCGACAATAAACTCGGACCTTCTTGCAAATCAATTGCAGCTATAATCGAGGTTTTTTCTTTCCAAAGGTTTACCTGTCAGTCAAATTCCCATCAACTACAATACATGGCCAGGGGGCTCGTACGGCCTTCCCAAACCACTGGCTGGCTGCCCTGGTAACGGTTGGCAACAAGGATATCGTTACCATGACACCGAGAACTTTCGCAATCTAAATTCAAAATCGAACTCCAGCCATTTGTCTGGTAAAGTTAACAGTCGTGGTATAAGGCAAGAGTTTTGTATGCACTTAGATGATCAAACCAAAAGTAAAGAAGTCCCTAGCCATGGTAGAGAAACTGAGCCTACAAGACCATGGCCTATGGGAAAATATTGTATATATAAAAAAGATGACAAATGTCCCGAGGGATTACAGGAAGGTACGTGGATTTTATATTTTGCAATGCACAAGTGTTTGTGGGGGGGAAATAAAAGGGCATGGAGATTCGGGGGGGATGGGGGTGGGAGGTTGGACGTCCTAAACCACGACGGAACCACTTTGAATTGAGAACTAAGAACCCCGCAATTATATCACCTCGATTTTATCTCCAACCCCCTTAACCCCCTAAAGGATGATTAAGAACTCCCTAATTAGAAGCTAGAGATTCTTTTTTTTGTTTGTTAGTTTGTATCGCCAATTATGTTGTTACTATTGAAAATCCTGGATCCGGCCCTKGTGAGCGCATCAATGACAACAAGCTCGCAAAGCAAAGCACTGAATCCAACAAATAAAACAGCTAATGGGAGCCAATGCCCGAAACCTCGGAATAAATCATTTTTGGTTGAAGACACATTAATTTAACCATTATAAAACCAACCTACAAAACAACACTTGACACAAATAAGACAGCTTTTTTCGTGCTCCGTTCAGTAATAAATTAAGCACGCAGGAAGYGACGTAAAAATGAATGCTTCTCACACTTCTTGAGTTCTTACAGCACTTCCTAAGTGCTTTATGATAAACGGAGCACGGACGAAAAAATGCTGTTTTATTGGAGTTTTTATATTTAGTTAATAATTTTATTTCGGTAATTAATTTATTTACGCAAAGGAAAAAAGAAAAAAAAAAAAAACGAAGGTCGCAGGATCAAGCTGAACTTTGCGCGCGCGGATGACGTCAGCATTGTGCTCCGTTCACTATCGTACCCAGAGCCTGCGTTTCTTCTGCCCTGCGGCGAAGAACAACGGCTTTGGCATAATCCATTATTTTGCGCGTGTTCGATTTTTCGGAAGTGAAATATAATCAATGAAAATCATGCTTTAAAACAGAGTTCTGTGTTCCGATCAAAATAAAAATTACAAATCAGAAACATATTTTTATTTTTGGCAAGTTTTTGAACGCATGCGCTCTTATACCAGAAATCCAAGAAATCGTGGTCTCAAAATATAGATTATGCCAGAACCTTCGTTCTTCACCGCAGGCCAGAAGAAACGCAGGCTCTGGGTGCGAGATTCCTCCGTTCACTAATAAAGCACAGTTTTCGACCAATCAGTGCTTGCTTACTTTCCTAACTATATAATAATACCTAATATAAAGTTAATTCAGAAATAAATATAATAAATAATGTGTTTGTAAAAAAAGCAATAATTAGTCACGTGCCAATTATTTGACTGGGAATAGTCATGGACTAAGCCATAATGTGTGTGTAGTGAGTATTGGAAGTCAGTAGAGAAATATGATCCCCTGGTATGTCAGTAGTATTTGATCGCATAACTGGTCTTAGTGACTATTGATTTAATTTGGTTTAAAGAAGCCTGGCAAAAACTTATACGARTTGACTTTTTGCAGATTTTGTGTTTTTAATAATCTGCGTATTTCATTTACAGGGTGGGTTTACTGGGATGACGAAAACACTTCCTTAGGCGACACAAATTCATATGGTGGCGCATTGCCTGATGGGATTTACAATACGAATACACTGATATATTACTGCTGTGACAGTAGAGGAGACACGTCCATCTCCATGTTATTGCCTTTTGGGCAACCGTTTTTTCTYATTGCATTCCAATCCAAAGAATGTCAGAAAGTCCATGGTTTTGAGGTAAGACGATACCAATGCACACTGTTTTCGTATGCTATGCTTATGATGGCTTGATTGCAGGCGTTAAATTACAACAGACGCAATCTATCATTCGTTAATGTTTATCGACTTTTTATTTTAGACCACCTGCCATTCCCTTGAAACCTAGATTGTTTGATTGAGTCACGAACAATCACGTATCTGCTCGCTGAGATTTAAAAACGTCCAAGCCAAAATGCTCTTTTAGCCGTTTTAGTTTTATTAMAAGTTGGATCGAGTAGGAAGAACAAAGCATTTTGGGGCTGTTATAGGGAACCAAATTGACGTAATCTTGGAATGATGCCATCTCCTAAAAAAATTCCACAATGCATTGCCATACCTATTCTAATAAGTTTTTTCCTCAGTCTCGAGCTGGGAATGCCTATTTACGAAGGTTTGATATCCTATATCGTCCTCAACATATACCCTTAGAGTGCTAGTAGGCATAGGTATTGATATAATTTGTCTTCGTCATACAGGCATCTATTGAGTACCTGTTCTTTGATGATGAAGATCGAACCAATCACAACAAACACAGTTCGGTAGCACCTTATGGAGTAAAAGAAGACTTGTATAATACAAGGATTTACTACTGTTACTACGAGCCAGGTATTACTTAACAAACTGTCGCAATAGCCTGCTTATGACYTTTTGTGCTATATTCTCAAATGACTTACCTTCGAGTTAAATTATATTTAACAATATTACATCGGGGAAGACTCGCGTCTCGGTAAATTTTCCCCGATACTCACTAATACGCCTGAGGCAAATAATTGTTTATTGTTTTTAACACAAGTAAATAACGAAGAGAGAGATTTTTTTTTTTTTTTCTTTTTCTAATTTAATTAATTTCAGCAAGCGACACAAATCGACAAACAAGCGTGCGCGTGCGCGTTAAATTCACCTGTAGGTGAATATGACAGCATTAGACGTAAATTGTGACCAATTAGCGCGCCAGATTTATTATATTTACTTGTGTAAAAATACTATTGAGTCATTATGATTTTTTCAGCATCATGCGGGCAGTGATATTTCTAATTGGCTCTAYATTTTCGAACTAACGAGTCGTTCTTCCTTTATTTCAACTGAACAATCGAGTGTGCTGCTGCTGCTGTGGCTGATGTTGCTCCTGGGGGGGGGACTCTCTTGAAAAGTGGGGTAGGGGGGTTCGACGGACCTTTTAGGGTCGAAAATGAGACCTCACGTACCTTTTAGGGTCTCCGGCTGACTCCAGGCTGACTCTGTACCTTTTAGGGTCAGATTTGTTCGTTTTGAAAAATATCAAACGTCATACAAGAATCTAATGGTTGGAAACGTTGCCATTTTAAGGTGGCTTGCTGGACCCCCTCACGCTTGGCCGCTACCTTCCACGCTTGGRACGCTGGTGTGTAAACGCGTTTTATCCGATTGCAAATCTTTTTTGCACATAAGCCACATAAAGATTGAATTAATGTTTGATGCAGTTTTTAATCAGATCGGACGTCATAACACGTGATTATGATGAAATATTTGTTTTCGTTTAGAGAACAATTTTAGCCTTGCAGAGTGTTCAACACTAAAATGCTTCGTACCACATAATTATATACTATGTGTCTTCATTTGTAGGGATTTTTGAAAAAATCTATCTAGCTAATTATGAGATATTTGAGATTCTTTAAATATAGCGCATAATTTACTTCAAAACTAAACAATGAATTTGATGCGGCCAAAATTAATATTTCAAAGTTATATATTCACAAAAGTCATTGCTCATTTAGTTTTACTCTGTATCTAGTTTTAAAAGGAACATTTTGAAGGTAATCGACTTATGCRAATTTTTGAAAACGTATAGTGCAGAAGACGGGTTAAACATTTGATGCGCACTTTTCATCGCAGTGTTCTAGTCAATCTTATATACAAGATCTTCCATCATTCTAAAATTCGTCGATAGTTTGTCTCAAAACTAAGCAAGGATACAAATCAGAACTTAAACTAATATTACACAAAATTGCAAGACTATTGAACTCATTTGAAGCGATCTAAAGCGAACGAGAAATACAGAAAACATTGATCGTTTCCCAACGAWTTGATGCTCTGGGAATTCTATTGTTTGCTAATGATTTAAACATCAAATTCTTTCGCTTCATGCACGGTCTCATCTCTCTTGGCTGCTTTCCGATTTACTCCCAAAGTATTGTAATAAGCAGTTGTTTTTTTTATTCAAACGTGGGACGTTTGTCATACTGTACTTTGTCAGAGTGATTGAATAGAATCGGCGAACATGCCTCAAATAAAAATTGTGTGACTTATCTCGAGCATATTTTATCTCCTTTAAAGTTTATCACTATGGCGTCCGATCTGATTAAAAACTGCATCAACCATTAATTCAATCTTTATGTGACTTATGTGCAAAAAAGATTTACAATCAGATAAAACACGTTTTCGTGCACCAGCGTTCCAAACGTGGAAGGTAGCGGCCAAGCGTGAGGGGTCCAGCCACCTTAAATGTGGTCGTACCTTTTAGGGTCTGAAATCAGCATCTCAGTTAATTTATACGTACCTTTTAGGGTCATTTTCGAAACCGTCCGTCGAGTCCCCCTACCCACTTTTCAAGACAGTCCCCCCCCTTCGCTGTTGCACTTGCAGTGATTGTGTTTTTGTTGTATTTTGTAGCGAATTGTTGTGAAATTATGTTGTTGTGAACTGGTGTTTTTTGTGAATTGCTGTAGATATCTTGAGTTTTGGTTTCAGCRAAAATTTCAAACCCTTTCAGTACTTGAAACATAATAAAAATATTCAACTAACACTGTTTACAAAGCCCTAATCAAACTACAATTTCTGTTCTACCTGTTCACCACGTCTTTTTACTTCAGCGTTGGAGGCTTTGTGTAAAGAAATTGACTTAAAAAGTTATTGGCGGAGATCAGCTAGAGTAGAAGAGACTTCATTCCTCCGGTTCAGGCCCACGTGACTAGAACGAAAGGAGCTATGAGTAGGAATCACATAAACGGTGGACTACAGTATCTGATTAGATATGCCTCGGGGTTTACAGAATAAACCTTTGCTGGCGAGCGGCCAGCCTTGAAGGAGATGCTCTTTTAATGCCTAAATATTTTCGAAATTTTGGAACTTTTTGTAACTAAATAAAAGTCATATTGACCTTTGTTTTCCTTTCGCATTATTATTATCATATTAGTCAGTGCAAACAACTAATTCATAGCAGATAAGTCACTTCAGTGATTTCTAATCATATACTCTCTTTATTCSAGTCGCGATAGGCTCAGCCAGTCGAAAACAATTGTTTTTTGATTTGACCGCTTTCTCAAGGTTGCGTGTGCATCCAAATTTAAGGAACTTGACGGGCCACGATACCAGAACACGAGTATTATCATGCATTGCTATGAATTTTTTTACGATAAGAATTCATAAAATCGATTATTCTCCTCTTTAAATATAAAACTGTCTTCTCAATTTTACCGAATTTGCGTTTTTCAGTTTTGTGGCCCGTCAAGTTGGATGCGCACGCAACCTTGAGAAAACGGTCTATTGACTGACTGTATGTAAAGTTTACTCGATACACGCCAAATGCACGTTACAAAACGTTACRCTCCATGCAAGCATATAGTCTGAATTGGATTTACTATGTAATGTTAAAGGCGTTAATATATATTTTACTCTGCATACTCTGCATTTGTCTGATTTTTTAGTGCCCTGTAATTCTGAAGACGTAACAGATCCAGCATGCTTTGCGCACTTTTTGGCATCCAACTCCGATGACGTAACGACCTTGATGGTAACTATGCATACAATGTTAACGTACTATTTTCATTTTTGAACAGTACACAATATACCAGTATACAATATACCAGTTTACTATTCTTTTTATGCCTATACCTGTTACGAATCTCACTTTCTGTTTGGTTAATGGCGTTTGTTTGTTGAGATCGACCCGCATTTCTCTTGCGTTCTGCCAACCTCCGCGTGCTTTAAAACCGTGCACAACACGCGCGTTTTCTACTTTTTTAATTTTTCAAGCCTCTGACTCTAATAAGAAAAAGAAAAAATGGATCGAAAATGGGATGACATTTATAAAGCCCCTCCCCCCTCGAAAAAAATAATAATTCGTGTCCGTTACCTGGAAAATCATTCTGAGATCGGTTGATTTAGAAATGACATTAATCATGACGACTACTTTTTTTCATTTTTATCAAAAGATGACAGATGAAGAACGCATGTCTCGTCGTCACAGAGCATTTATCGTTGGTAGTGCCGTTGGGTTTTTTATAATGGGATGGGCTTTTCTTACCGTCACTCTCAAGAGACTTGTTACTAAACGATCGTACACGTATTATGAAGTAGTTGGAAATGACATTCTTAGCTGTAGCTCTAGCTCTTAAGAAGGTATCAATAGTATTACATAACAGGGATACGGGGATAGAGAAAGGATATGGCGACCTTCTTTTTGTTAAGTATTTTTTATTATTCCTACTACATTATCTTATAAAGTAAAGCGATATCAACTCTATCACAATAGAGCTTTTTATTGTGATGTCAGTCTAATGAAAAACCGACTTCCGGGTTCAAATCGAGGAAAAAGTTCTATAACTGAGATTTTTGTTATTATCTCTTAATAATAGGATTTGTTATCCAAAGTTCAAATTGTTACAGGTGCGATAACAGGTTCATGTTAAATCATTGAGAACATAATTTTCCCGTTTTATTTAGCAGTTTTTGTGAGTAGTTGAACCCGGAAATACGTCACAACTTGAAAACGCTATTAAGAACTTCTATGTTGATAAGAAAGTGATCTAACACCGACCTAATGTGCTGTCATTCAGAAAAAAATTCATTCAAAACAGTTGATGAACATTTCCAACGAGACAGGTAAAGACWTCAAGTGAACCCCATCATTCGTTCATCATTATCCTCCGTATGCCTGTGGCACGTTGGGCCGACACAAAGACTTAATGTTAAATGAATTCTTTGTTAAGTGTAAACTGTTAATATATGAAATAGATAAATATTTTATTCTAGTGTGTTGTGTTATGCCACCTTGTACAAGTAAGGTCACGTGTAGTAGGGTTTATTATATCTCACAAATAATCTTTCAATCCCACGTGGCAATCCATTATTTTGCGATATTGGGCAGCAACCTATTGGACTGCAAATAAAATAATTGTTTTGGAACTACAGTGTTCTTGTTATTGAAAATAAATATTTGTTCGATATAAGAAAACACATATAGGATTCGCCCATTATGGCATCCTCGCCCATTATGGCAGATATTTGTCTYGACTTAAAATATTCTGCCATGATGGGCTCAGTTGAATCCAATAAGTGTATTTAAGTAATATRTACAGTATGAGCGGCCGTGTTGTATCGACTACAGTCCTTTGACTAAACGTTGTCGTTTGATCGGCTACATCCCTACGCGCCTAGACCGAACAGCATATGTTATCTAACACGTCTTGAGCTCGCTGTTTTTGATCCCATTAATTTGCTAAAACCATGCCTCGAGTATACGGCGAAGATTTACGCTGGCGAGCAGTTTGGATGACGCAATGTTCTCGTTAATTTACCCGTTATCCTTTTCGGTCTAGGCGCGTAGGGATGATCCGATCAACGACAACGTTTAGTCAAAGGACTGTATACGATCACGAGTCGGAGGCGAGTGATTGTATGGCCGATAGGACACAGACTCGAATGTTGTAAACAACTTGTGAAATTCCGTGAATAATTCATAAATCTTTTGAGACATTTTGAATTCATATGCTAATTAGATACAACCTATTGTGCTGTATCAGAACAGTATACATCCACCAGTGGTTATATCTAATTATCATTTTCATTGTAAGGTTTGTATAAGCCTTTTCATAGTTTAAGAATCGATTCCACTGTGCATGCGATTTTATCCCGAATTTCTCATCTTCTTTTGTTTAAATAAGAACAAAAGGTTTAGACAAAAGAAGGTGAGAAATTCGGGATAAAATCGCATGCGCAGTGGAATCGATTCTTAAACTATGAAAAGGCTTATTGGGTTTACATAATATTCATGTGACCTTATTTCTAGAGCCGTATTGGCTTAGGTCCTCGTTAAATGTATTCATGAATTTCACAATCATGTATACACACCCCAGTGTATAGACATCTAATAATGATAATCACGTGGTGTGATTAAGGTCACGTGTAGTAGGGTATATCATGTATATACACCCCAGTGCATAGATATCTAATAATGATAATCACGTGGTGTGAGTAAGGTCACGTGTAGTAGGATATATCATGTATATACACCCCAGTGCATAGATATCTAATGATGATAATCACGTGGTGTGAGTAAGGTCACGTGTAGTAGGGTATATCATGTATACACACCCCTGTGCATAGATATCTAATAATGATATATAATCACCTTGTGCGAGTAGGGTCACGCGTAGTAGGGTATATCATGCATGCACACCCCTGTGCATAGATATCTAATAATGATATATAATCACGTGGTGTGAGTAAGGTCACGCGTAGTAGGGTATCTCATGTATACACACCCCAGTACATAAATATCTAATAATGATAATCAGCTGTTGTGGGTAAGGTCACTTGCAGCAGAGTATATGCAGTGCAGGGGTTGGGGGACGAGAATAGACTAGTTTCGAATTCCAAATTACCGCTGTGTTYCTTGATTACAGACTCATTTGCACAGGGTTAGCCTCATATCAGTGTTTAAATATTCACGAATACCAACAGAAAAGTAAAGAATGCACAACTTCGACRATACAAACATTTTGAAACTCGACGGACCTTGACTGGAACACGTGAATATTCTGCACAAACTCGAGGCTAACCCTGTGTAAATGAGTCTATAATCAAGAAACACAGCGATAATTTGGAACTCGAAAAGGGTCTATTGGGACGGGCGGCGGTCCAGGGACGTGAAGCAGCCGTGCACTGACGGATGTGTATGGGTTGTACTTGTTGGTCCTTAACCAGTGCACTCGCCATCTTGAAGGAATATATCATCCAGTGCTACGTCACTATAAGCGTTTGTTCCCCTAATGACTTCAAACACAACCTGTTTGTAAGATGTTAAGAATACATGATATTTTAACTAAAAATKGATTTTTACAAGTAAACATACGCAAACAGGTGGGACGCAGTAGATCAGTATAGATGAAAGGAAGCGCAATGCTTGAAGCAATCGTGCAGTGGATTATTTATCAATTAAAATTGGGCAAATACACGTCCGTCAATCAAATAAAATGTTAGTATACGTGGAGGTACTTGGAACTATTCTTATAACGATCGAAATATTTAGTTGAAGGAATACCTAATGAGTGTTTTATAATCTTAAATGTATATCATTTGTTGAACTTTAGCTCTTTCGGAATCAATTACCACTTAGTTTACAAAACCCCGTCCACACGTATCCGCAAATTTTTGTATCCGCAATCTTTTTTACGGATACGGGTTGCGTCCACACGTGTCCGCATCCGCAAATTTTACGAAAACGKATACGCGTGGAAGGTGAAGACGATTCGAATACACTGCGTGTGGACGCAAAYATCTTGGTATCCGCAAAAAATAATTTGCGGACACAAAAATTTCCGGATACGTGTGGACGGGGCCTAAAACAGCTTTAGTCCAAAGTGACCGGGATTAAAAATCGTGTAGACCTTATTCTTTACAATTAGTTTCAGAGCGTTAATGACTAACAAACAAAAGGTTATGGGTTTTTGCGAGAAAAATGACTGAAATATTCTTAAAGAAACACAATTCACTTATTCTTAAAATACCTTATAATCATTAGGGCTTGTAACATTTGCACTTGCTCTATACCACTTCCGTCCCTGGTTACTGCTTTGCGTAAAAGTCATATTCTTTGTTCCTGTGTGCACATCTATTATATAGACATTCAATGATCCCATGYCTGATCCATACATGTGGTATGCAAACTGAAGACATCGTCCAGAATTAGCGGTAAATACCGGACTGCGAAGCTCTGTTCTCTTGTTTACCGCTACAATTGAAGCCTCAGCGTAGACGTAAAAACCTAACAATAAAGAGTATTTGCCTTTAATAATGTACATAAACATACATACTTTATTAAGTATTCCCCAAGGGGTTTTTCAATACTAATTTATAATATTAATGTATTTAAGATATATCCAATGCTAAGGCATATGTAATATAAAAACTAATTTAAGCTAGGGTAGTTCGGTCGGAAATTTGAAATAAAAAAACTTTTTTTACCCTTAGTTTCCACTTAGTCAGGCTGTGTCTCAGTTAATGAATCCCAAATCCGAGTCAAACCACGATCCTCTGCGCGCATACATTATAGATTACATCGTTCGCTTGCATAGTTCTCGAAGCTCTTTTAAGCTCTGGCGAAATTGAACTGCAAAATTCGCTATGCGAAAGTCCGTAATTTCTTTTCGTTCCACAACTAGCTCTGAAGAAGATTGACTTTATTCAGAGACAAATATGAGATTATAACTTTTCAGTCGTCCAACTGATAGCCATCACGACTTTCGTAATCTATGGTAGCTTCGGTATCAGTTCTAACCTGCTTTGTTCAAAGGTACTGTTACATCACCAGTGGGACCAGTTGATGAAGTGGAGGTGGATCCTTTCTTGCGGTACCACCTGTAGGTATTTCGTGGGTCGCTAGTCCACAGGCACATGTCGATTTCAAAATCGCAATATTCAGGATTACCTAAAGAGAGAGATAAAGGGAGAAGTTGTTATTAATACTTATCGTTGTTTTTTTATCAATTGACAATTGTCAAGAAGGGGAAAGTGGGGGAGTGATACTTTCCCAACGGACACAAAGCTTCGGGTCGTTCTTTAGTTGCTTCCTTTTGCTTTATTTTCTGTTGCTTGTAGTACTTTACAATGAACTCAATTAGATAATCTCTGTTCTGCTTCTAGCTCGGCTTTCAACTCTGCTCTTGCTGCACTGTTCTGCCAACTGAACTGAACTCTGAGTGAGCTCGTATTTAAGGGCTAAGCTCACGCAATACGTCACATAACTGGTTCGTACTAGGTCAAACTAGATTAGACCAGTTAGTTCAAGTATGACGTAAGAGCTTGAGACCGGTGTTGACTTTAGGAAAAAGTACGAGCACTCAGTTCTAATGTGTGAATGACTTACCATTGGCCAATGACAAGTTGTCTATTGGCATGTCATTAAAATAAAGAGGTTTCCTTACACTTACATTTGTTATTTACAGAAGGTTTAACAAATAAGTTTCTTTTTCTAGATTATTTCTCCTTAGTAATATTTTTCCCCTTTACAGAATTGAAGAACGCTGTGTGAACACACACACACACACACACACACACACACACACATAACAATCGGGGGATATTTAACCAGACGCGAGTCTTCCATAATTGTTTTAGTATTTTTAACACAAGTGAATTTAATAAATAATGGAGAGTGTTTTGTTACTTTATTTCAAATGTTAGAGTGCAAACAATTAATCCGTGAAACACTAATTACTAAATAGTACAAAATAGTGTTAATTAAACAATAGAAAACAATGGAATTTGCATGAAATTGTGCTATTTAGTAKTACTAAAGTTTCACGGATTTACTGTGGTCACTCTATTAGTTATTTCGTTTGTTTGTGCAAGCGCCACAAATCGACAAACGAGTGTGCGCGTACGCGCTATATTCACCCGTAGGTGAATAATAAATAAATAAATAAATAAATAAATAAATAAATAAATAAATAAATAAATAAGTAAATTATTAATTAAATAAACAGATTTTTAGAACATGAAAGAAGGAATAATAAAGTCCTCATTTGAATAATGAAACCAATAATGGAAAATGGGGGTTAAGCAAAGCCGTTTCTGAATAAATCGATTATGCCAATAGAAAAATCAGTTTATCAAACGTATATAAGTAAAAAACGCTTCTCATCGATTCTTATCCACTCAGCTCCAACGAAGATTCAATGTCAGGATTTTTAGTCAGGGGTGCATRCATGCATCTTCTAGTTAGTTCTTCTTGGCATGATGTTAAGAATTGCTTCAAAATGATGATGAAAACATCGATTTGCGCACCACACACCACTTGGCACAAATCAGTTGTATTTTGCGCGTTGGGTTTTTGGCTTAGGTTGAATTTACGAATAGCATTTCAGGGACGGTGCTGATTTTGATTTCGGTAGTCACATATAACGTGCGTTGATTGTCTTCAAAAATGACGGTTATGACGTTACGTGSAAACAAAGAATACTCGTGTACTGTGTGATGTGACTGGTTTATAAAATTATTGAAAAAATGATTTCAAAGTGGATTTAATAAACTCACCATTTAGGCACATTTTTCCGCCGAAATGTTTCGTACATTGACAGCGATATTCCTGCCTGTTATTCTGAAGGCTGCAGGTGCCACCATTGACACAAGGTTGTGGTTCACAAGGACTCTATTAAAAAAGGAATTATGGATAAATACTTAACTAATATTGATATTTTTAGTTCTGCACGAGTAAAAATATATAAATGCTGGTGTTGAATGAATGAATGAATGTATGAAAGGAAGGAAGGAAGGAAGGAAGGAAGGAAGAAAGAATCGCTGCGAATTAACATAGGTACTTTCTAACTATAACTAATTGTTACTATTCCTACAAGATACGTTTCTTTTGTCAGAAGTGCAGCGATGGAGTTGAAAAAAGAATTTTAAAAAATTTCGTCAGGCATAAATTATATCTTTTGCTAGACCTATATTGTGACGGGGAAAATGCTTGTTAGTAGACCGAATAATTACTCACTTAGGTCTGTCTATCCGTGTTTTATTGATTGCTACGTTAGTCTTCGATGAATGAACATGAATTAAATGGTCGTTTGACCTCCTTTAACAGTTTTCTTCGATTCTAACCGCCATCTTTGTCTTTCTAATGAGCCCGCTATATGTTATTGTGAAAAACCGCAAATACGTCATTAAAACAGGGAGACCAGTTTCTGTTGTATTTCCTTTTTACTAAAAATTAAGAGGGTAGGCCCAAAGTGGGCGTTGCCACCCTCTCAACTGAGATTTATGGATTATGTACCATGTGATCACTTTGAATTGCTTTGAGCTCGATGCCAATTGCCTATTGTAATCATAGGGCATCGTTTCAGTTTTACGGGTCCAAAATTCGTTTTGCAAACTCCTTTGCAGCAACAATAATAATTYTTGTCGTTAATTAAAACTTTTCGATCCCAATGCAAGTATTGCTTTTTATCTTATTTATGGTTGTATCGTCGTGTACGGGAATTGTCAGGGGAATTCTATTCAAATTCAAATTTCAAGTAATCGGCTAGTAATCGTACCCTACGATAGCATAAATTAAACTATAATAAATATTTATGTGCACGCGCTGATGATACATCGTTTAAATATGACTAAAAAATGAGACCACCCAACCGAATTCACTTCGTGGTCTAGGGGTTAGGTTTAGGTTTAGGGTTAGGGTTGGGGTTGGCATTGTAGTAGTTCTTTGGTGCCGAAGGTACCGAGTTCGATTCTTGGTGTCTTCACTTAATTTTTTTTTCTAAGTGAGGAGAACCAAAATTTCTAAGCAGTCGTGTGTTCGGAAACCTATGACGTACTTCGTTAACCCGCACACGACGATAATACCTATATTATTACTTGAATTGCTGTCAATAAAACGTTCTTCTTAGAAAGAATTAAACATATTTACTGCTGAGCATTTTAAGAGAATGTTTTAGTGCATGAATTAAAATATGGCGAGCTAACATCGCCGCTAATTAATAGATAATTACTGAGGCACGCAGCATTCGTAGGTATAATGCAGGCAGCTGAGGGCGTAGCCCGAAGCTGCCTGCATTATACCTACGAATGCTGCGTGCCGAAGTGATTATCTAGTATAATTATTGTTCTTATCAAAATCCAACTGTTTTCTTTCTAGCTTGTTTATCATAGAAACAAAGCCAATAATGAAGGAACTAAATATGTCTGATTTTCCTCTATGCATTCGTTGGGATAATGCAGACTGAAAACAATGGATTTTGATAAGATCAGTAATTATCATCATTTGTTTACTGTTTTAAAAACATAGACGGCTCAGCTCAGCTTTAAATTAATCGGAAATGCAAATACTGCTCTGCATTTTACTTAGTACAAGTAAAGCATTGGACCCTAATGGACTCTTCATGGCTGTAAGAAGCATCCAAAATAAGAGGCTTCATAGTATAAACTCTAACCATTTTAAGGTGGAACCAAACTAATTCAGAGCACTAGTTTTGCGAAGGGAGCGAGAATAAAATTGTCCRAAATTCGCTCTGAATTAGTTTGGTTCCACCTTAAATCAAAATATTTTTTAAACGGCGATACGTGTTTATAAGTACTTAAACCTAGACGMTCAACGGCTGCATTTTATCCATAGAAATGGCTCATGACGGGAGATTCAATTCGTTCATGTCCTTCAGATAGTGAGATTAGTACATTAACAATTAATTAATAAGAAAAATCCCTCGAAAGTAATCAGTAGAACAAGCGAACAATGCTTCCAATTCGATTCAGTATGTTCAGGAGAACCCCTCGAATAATTTTGAAAACAAACGAGCAATGCTTTCCGCGTCATCATCTGCCATCAAGGTTAGTACGATGAAATAGTACTTTGGGCTTACCCTCTTAMTGTTTAGTAAAGTAGAATACGAAGTTTTCAGGAGCTCCTCGCTGATAGACGGATAAAACTCCACTATTTCAAAGCAGATGAAAAAATATGCTTTTTCTTTGTTTTCAATCTGTTGTGTTATTTTATAGCGGGTGAGATAATTTTCCACTGTTCGATTTCAGTTGCCGCACTAACTTTGGCGTTGACTCTGTCCAAGACTTGCCTACTTATTTTAATTTGTGAGATTTATTAGTCTACTTGCTGGCTTTAACATCGAGTATGACATCGTGTGGCAAATTATATCACGCGATAAACCCTACAATAGCTTTAGCAATTCCTATTTGATATTTTGTAACTTTTTTATTTTTATGTGACAAACGTTTCTGCAATTAGGTGTATATATTTAGAAAAAATTAAAATTAAGATATACCTAGGCACCACCTTTCCTTACGAAATCGGTCTTTTGGAACTATAGTTTGCCATATTTAGACTGTTTTTGACGCTGAAATCTATTATTAATGACTCAAGTAAAAACAACACACAAGGCCGCGAGTTTATGAAAGCATTTAGTTATGAGATGATGTAATCAATTCCTATTAATAATCAATTCCTATTTGTTATTTTGTAAGTTTTTATTTTTATGTTGCAACGTTTCTGCAATAAAGTGTATATAAAAAAAAAAAAATGAATTTGTGAGTTTATACTATCAACTTCTTTGCGGAATCTGTGATTTCTTTTCTTTTCTCCTTAGCAATTCGTCTAGCAATACTTTCTCTGTTACTATTTAAAAGGGCGGTGTTTATCTTATTGAAAAAATAATAATTTTACAATACAATTTTGTTAAGTCTTAGTCAGTCTTACAGTCTTAATTTCTCTATTTTTGAACTTTGTTTTTTTTTCTTAACATAATTCAAACTTACTAGWATTTAAAATTATACTCGGCTTTTATCATTACAAATTGTATTTATATTTTTACCGAGACCAAATAAAGTTAAGTCATATTTGACTTAACATAGTTCTTTCTTGATTTTTTTCTTAACACATTGCTATGTCTAGGGCTGTCAAACAAGTTATACGAAAACTGAAGAGAAATACTTTTGTCCTGAACGTTTCTTTTTTTCACCCCTAACTTTCTTTCATGTTTTCCTTTCAAAAAAGCTATACGAAAATTGATGAGAAATCTCTGCCTTGAAACGATAGTTTTTAAAAATTTGTAATTCCAACATGCGCTGCGGTTTCCTTGGAAACGCTCGACATATTTCCGGACCGCCCGCGTACAAGAGGTAAAATAAAAAGCAGTTCCAAATGCTTAGGCCGCGTAGGTGAAAAGTGAAGAACAAATAAAGAATAAATTATCAAAAACTTAGCGATAAAAATTTTGAAAACCTGAGTTTTCGAGAATTGAAAACACTCACAGAAATTCCTAAAATGCCTGACATTTTTTACCTCACCAAAAAATATCACTGATCTTTTCGTACTTTAAAGRAGTTATTTGTACGTTCGGTTAGAAGTGGACTTACCTTCATGCTGAAATGAGTAAATATGTCGTTTCGTGTCATGTTCTTCGGGTGAGTATGTTTATCGGTTGATAACAGCTCACATACGTGAAGTCCATTATTCTGGGCTGTGGTTTGAAAATTCATCGATTGACACCAAGGAACTTCAAGGCATGCAAAGACACACTCCATTTTATTAGGAACTTGAGTGGTTTGTTGCTGGATGTCTTTGGTGTGGATTGGAAAGAATAAAATGGACCCAGGAAAASCACTAAAYAGRAATTCATCATGCTTGKTCATGAGGTCRTTGTGTTCAATACATTTGCTGTAGCATATTGCACATAACAACAGTACTACAGTAAGCCATGTCATGGCGAAACTGAGATGAGCGATCCTTCGTATTCGAAAGACACGAAGGAAAATGACTAACATCGCTAAGTGACCCGCGTTCTACTCTTGATAATTAAGCATTTATTAGCTATTCAGATGTAAACGGTTGATTAACTCACCAAGTAAATAAGAAGTCATCAATTGTTAAAATTCCAGAAAGAAAACTCAAAACAACGAAGGTAATTAAAATAATTTGAGGATACTATATTTTGACTAGCCAGTACTAGTCTTCACACAATCTTACCAGAACTAGGTTCACAAAAAATACAGTTTTTTTGTGATGTTTTCGAAATCAAACAAGACCCTGGTGGCAGGGTAGACCGAGTTAACTGGTTGGGACGGTTTATCTGAGTCGCTAAGAATCTAAAGAAGAAGTAGAATCTAAGTTATCGTAGATTGATAAGTTATACACCGTAGTGAAAATAGGAACTGACGTTTCGGACGTTAGTCCTTCGTCGGAGTCAATCAAAAATCAAATCAAATCTAAGTTGCGAAGTTTCAAAAGACAGCGATAAAGCTACTAATGTAAAACGAAAGCAATTTTTGGGGAAAGCGCTTATACCATAATTCCATAATCGAAAAAATCCTTTTTCAGCTCCAATTTTCAGCAGTCCGTCAAAACCATCTTGCTTATTTCCGCATACGAAATAATGTCGTAGAAGGTCTATCGCCATGCGGCTTGTTCTAACTAGATCCAATTTGAGTAAGACAGAAATCTCAGAATTGCTTTACTCTTTATGATTTTCTTTCGTTGTTAATTGATATTTTGAAATTTATCGACATTTTCTAAAGAGAAAACCTTTATTTTCGAGTGAGCTAGAAGTTGAATACTCTTACGGTGGAAACAAACTATTTCAGAGCGAATTTTGGACAATTTTATACTCGCTCCCTTCGCAAAACTAATGCGTCAATTTAACTGGATTTTTCATATAATGTGCTTGGATTATCCTAGATTCTAACAGTGCATTTTATTTTTTTAAGTGTTTAGTCTATTATGGCCGAAAATCTAACAGTGCTATTTTTAGTTTTTGGCTTTTTTCTACTCATCCTCAGGTACGATTTTTCTGAAGTTTTCAGAATCTTATCATCTAGTACTAATGCAGTCTGTGTATAAATTTGGATGGAAAGTCCTTGGCAGAAAAAAAGCTATGACGCCGCTTGAAAATTCGATTCAAATTTGAAGCATATAAGACATCGCGCTGTAGAAACATCACCATTGATTGGATTGCCTCGAAGTTTTCACATATCTATTTCCAAGTATTGCGGTTGAGCCTTACGAAAAATCAGCATCAAATCTTAACAAGTTTTGACACGGGAAAACGTGTCAAATGTGCTGGGCACATTGGATACTTTGAATAGAGTAGAAGACTATTTGGGATTTAGTCATTGTAAGACAGAAGAAAGTCAGTGGATTCGGTTCGAAAATTTTTTTACGGTSAAATTGAACCAGCATAAACGAGTCTTGGTCGCAAACCCCAAAGCAAGCCTCCGTCTCTCTGAGAAGCAGTGTTATGGTGGCTCCATCGGCTCAAAAACACCACACAAAACATTATTGAACAGAAGATTTTCCATCTACAGAAAAAGTTTGGTCTCGAAAATTTACCTCAGAATACCTGCGAGCAGAGTCTCCTTTACCTTGCCCCGAGTGAGAGAAAGGAAAGAAGACTCTTTCCTTTCTCTCACTCGGGGGAAGGAAAGAAGACTCTTTCCTTTCTCTCACTCGGGGGAAGGTAAAGGAGACTTTGCTCGCAGGGTAACCTCAGAATGGAAATATTACGAAAAACGTATCTCTTTCCCTACACTTCTACTCAAACAATATGGCGTCGGAAACCGTGAAAGGAACTATAAATAAACTAATACAAAACTCGTGTGAGTACTCTTTTATGTAAATTATGACGCAGTAATTTCCTCGTCCACCCACTCGTTGAAGGCTTCGGCATGAAAATCCCTTTTTCATAAAAATATTCGACTAGAAATAGATACGTTTAGCTAACCAAAACAAAAATTATTACTTTAGTTTATACAATAACATATAACTCGTGCGGGTATTGTTACTAAAACAAGGAACGGCCTGAAACSACCTGAAACGACCTAAAACGACCTGAAACGACCTGAAACCATCTTGAAGCCACCTGAAACCAGCCAAAACATTGAATCTCCATCGAGTTTGTCGTCCAGTTTGTGTATTTTATTGACTTTTATCGATCGATCAAGTGTTTGTTTTCCTTGGAAGGGATGTACTTCATGGTAGAATGTCATATACTCGCTCATACGTATAGTCTCCCATAGAAGTATTCCACACTTATACCTCACCTCTCCCTCGCTACGATTACCTGTTTCTAGCTATGATCAACCGTCCCTACCTATGATCAACTGTTCCTAGCTATGATCAACTGTCACTAGCTATGATCAACTATCCCTAGCTATTTTCACCATTCTCTACTAATGGTTTCCTGTACCTATATATATAGATTAACTTCCCCTTATATAGTTTAATGAACTTAAAAACTTGCAGGCAAC